GGTAGTTGGGACAGTACAGTATTGTGATTTTGAAGTGTCTAGCTCTACACAAGACAGGGGCTTTTCCTGTTTATGTTAATAAGGCAGAAAAACTCTAGGTCAAACTCTTCAACTGAATCATTCAGCATCAGTGTATCTTGCAAAACAGCATGCAGACCTTTCTGAGTTTTGTAAGTCACCGGCAGTACGTTGAACTGTGCGTGAAAGCTAACAGAGGACTTGGGAGGGCTGAGCTGCCGTGGATGTCTGTAGTCGTGTGTGTAGCGTTGCCTTGAGCTTCTGTGTGAATCCTGGGGGTGGCCAGAGGAAAGCGTATGCTAAAGGCAACTGATGTGGCTGTATCGGGGAAGAAGGGTACGGTGGTTAGTTACATTACATTAGTTCAAATCTGAAATACCTGGGGTGTTTTGGTTTTTTTTTCCTTCTCCCTCAGCTGTAGTTAGGCTGCTGATCTAACCTTCAAATCTGGGAACTAGGGGACAGTACGAATCTGAGGCTGTGTATTGTTCTTAAAGATTTAGGGATATTCTTCTGAAGAGGTACAGCCAATGTCTTTCTCCATTAAAAGAGGCTTTATATTATCCATTAACATAGACCTTTAGGCTTAGCTTGCAGAAAGTAAAATTTTGGCAGTATAAAATGACATTTAAAGATAATCTTCTCTATTTATTGATAGATGTCTTAAAATGTATTTTTTTAATTTGCATTTTTTAAAAGCTAGGTTCTTCAACAGTGTGAATTCATGCCAAAGAGTCCATATCCAGCTTTTAGGTAATCTTTTAATGTTAATTAATATTTATCGTTATGTAAACAGAATTTTGGCAGAGAGAGTGAGTGAAGGTAAGGAGAGACCATGATTATGATGTAAGAGTGAGGAGAAGAAAAACCATTCAGTGCTGAAAAACTACTGTACCAGTACTACTACTTTTTATCCCCAGATCCTTCATCTTCTGTTGCCATTCATTCTTGCCTGCACATTCCTTGCACATTTACACTGCAGTCAAAATGTATCTTAAATGCACTATCGGAGTCAGGCAGCAGTACCTGCTGGTACCACGCTGCGCAGGACATACACTCTTCAGGAAACGTGTACAGCTTTTACCACCCATTTCTTTTTTTTTTATTTCTTGTACCTTGAAATCACTGTTTTGAATATATCATGTGTCCCTGCATAAGTACGATGTAGGATATCTAGTTACCATGCAATTTATGAAAATTTCCAGTCCTTAGTATTGTTGATCTGCTTATTTCTTAGCATACTTTTTAATGTACTGGTGTAGGTAATAATGTATGCTATACCAAAGTTTTCATGGGGTGGCAGCTCAAATAGGACCTCTGTTCCTATCAGGTATTTTGACAAACACATTTGTTTTAGGTACTGAAAAACAAATGATCACCACTGTGAATTTTGATTGCACATCCTAGGGAAAAATGTCTTCATTCTTTTCATAAAGAAAGATAAGACATTACGCTGAAAAATTCAGGTTCCCCATGGCTACTTTTAAATGATTGATTATGAAAGGCTGAAGAGAGTATATAAGTTCTCCAGTAATTTAGGAGTTAGAGTAATTTGCAGCATTTATGAGAGATGCCTGCCAAATTCAGGGCTTGTCTGTGCTTTGCGTTTGCATAGCCGTGTGTGCAGATCCACCTAGTGGAGGTACAGCAGAAACTACAAGAAGATTTTTTTTTCTGCTCGCTTTTCTTTCCCAGATTGTATTAGCTAAACTGATAAAGGTGCCCTTCCGCTAGCAGAAGTTTGTGTCTGGGTTTGACTGGCATCGCGGTAGCAGCTGCAAGGTGCAGCATCTCTCATATTCCTCACCGGCGTACGTATGCCCACAGAACTCGGTAGGCAAGGTCAAACCTTAGGCTAGGATAATTGCGTCCGGCAAGAATGAGAAATGAACTTGGTTTATACCATTTGCAATTTAAAGTAAATTACATTCAGAATGCATAGTCTGAAGTGTGTTTTCACATTTATCTTCTTTCTACAGGAATGAGCTAGAACGGCAGTTTCTTGAGCTGCTGCAGTTCAATATTAATGTTCCCTCCAGTGTTTATGCCAAGTATTATTTTGATTTGCGTTCCCTGGCAGAAGCGAATAACCTGAGTTTTCCTTTGGAGCCCCTCAGCAGGGACAGGGCATATAAACTTGAGGTAAGACACTTTCTTTTTAGATTGCTCAGAGCTGAATATATAGGGGGATTTGCAATTTTTGTATTGTTTCTCCCTTTTCCCATCTCTTCACAAATATTCCAGTGAGATACTAGAATATCATGGGCCCTGATTTTCATAAACTGGTTTTTTTGTGCTTTGGGTATTCAGGAACGTGGGGACAGCTTTTTGGCCCAATTTGCTTCATGCCGTGTCTTGCTTTCCATTTATTTTTCAGTTCCAGTTGTCTAAATTGGCCCTGTGAAAGTATCCGCAAGTTTTACAATGACTCTGTTCGCCAGCTGGGTTTGTGTGTTCATTTAGTTTCTTAAAACTGATTATCCACCTTAAAGGACAGAATATTAACAAGTATTGCTGAAAATAACTATTCCATGTGCTTGTTATCTTGCTACTGCTCCACTTCACGTGGATCCAAGTCTGTTATCTCCCATGGTGTTTTTCTCAGTAATGGGAAAACAGAAATGAGCACACATTTTTAGTGAATAAATCATGAATGCTTAATGAGACCTGAATATACCATGTGCAGAAAGAACCACATCAGATGGTCTGGACCAGTGAAATGCAGGGCACTATGAATTCCCACAGACACAGGAGGAATTTAAAATCAGCAGCAGCCAATTGTGGGCACTTTGCAAGACTGGAATCTGTTTTTCCTCAGCTTTCTGATATGATGTTTTTCAAATAAGGGCATTATTGCATGAGTGTGTGCACATTTTGTTCCTAATTTTGAAATTTGTCATTAGACGCTAACTGCTTTTAACATCGCACATCTTTATGTGTAACAGCTTTGCACTGGAGGTTCTTTGCCTGCTGGTTAGAGGGAGCTTGCGTGTTCTGAAACTCCTAGTGCTCCTGTAAAACAGGCAGGCAGCGCTATACATGTTTTTGTGGGGGGAAGTGGTGCGTGGGAAGGTTAATTGACTTGTTTGCGACTAATGGGAACAGAAAGCGGTGGAGAAAGAATCAAAGCAGATCTCACTAAAGTTGTATTTCTCATTCTTTCTAAATATTCTTTCTAAATTTCGCAGATAGCTCCAAAAAGAATGTAACTTAATTCTGTGTATGGAGCATGATGTAAACTTGTATTAGATGTTGTTTCTGTTGAAGAGAATTAAAAAAAAATGAAAATTCATTGGGATTGTAATCTTAAATGAAAAGAGGTGGTTTACTAAGTTATTCAATGGTGGGTCTTGATAATAAGTGCCATTACATTTATTAAAATTGAGTGGATTACTTTTTGAAGAGAACTTAGTACACCGTGTTTCCCAACACTGTCAGTCTATATCACACACCATGTATACCAGTGGGCTACACTGAAGGTGGCAATGATGGCTCCTCAGACCTTAGAAGAAAAGAACATAGGACCTGACTGTAAATACCCAGAGAATACTGGTGGTTCTTCTGTACTAACTAAAGAGAAGGCTTATTTTAAAAAGAAATAACAGAATATTTTTTTCAATAAACCCACATTATTAAAAATTTTCCCATGTTGGGGATGCTTTGTGCTGCTAGCGGAAGTTGGCTGTAAAGTAATGCTGCTAGCCAAAGAGGATGCCTTCAGGGAAGAGGATGAGTATCTGCTGTGAAACCAGCTTGGTCTACCAGCTCCTTGCCTCTGTTCTGTGGCCAGAAGGAAGGGAACATGATGGGAACTGCCTTGTTCCCTGGCAATACTTGGTTGTCATTAGCGTGCCCTTGAAACTAGTTGACAGCATAATTTATAGCCTTGTTCTTTGAGTACAGTTAAGCATTTAGTGTGCCAAGAGTTACCAAAATGCATGTGCAGCACTTTTCTAGGTCTCATGTGTTGTTCAGCCCAGAGTTTCTGTCTTTAAAGCAGTTGCTTAGATTGTCAAGTGGAGTAGATGTAGTACCACACCAGGCAGTGATATTTTTGATACTGAGAGAAAAGCTGCAGTCTGTGATGAAAGAAAACAGGCTCGTAGCAAACATATACATGTGGTGGAAGGATTTACCTTGTCTGGTAAACTGCAAGGACCTTGCTCAGTTCTAAGATTTAAACCAACTTATTTACTGACATTTGAGATCACAGAAGGTCTTGCATAGAGAAATGGTTATATTATAACACATTTTTGCTACTTTTGCATTTTCAAGCAATTTTATCTATCTTAAAGCAGGAGCATTAGATCTGGCATGGCAGAATCTGCATTGCTATTTCTGCAAAAAAAAAACCAGGAAGACCAAGGACAAGGGAAGTAAATACTATTCCTCATCAAATGGAAATGCTGGACAAGATCCGTCAGCTTAGAGGTGTTATAAGGGTTTATGGTACCTGTTAAAACTGACATCTCATTCTGGAGCATCTCAGTGGATGTTTTGCCTTATTTAATGTTCCCACCACTGACACTTAAGAAGCAGCTTTGTCTTTTAAATAACTGAATGAAAGTAATTTTTTTCTTACTTCTCATCAGCCTGTGGCCTAAAAGCGTTCTGAATTTGTTATGCCAGTCCACCTAGTAGCCAGAAACCATTTTCATGACCCCTCTTTTTTTTTTTTCCCCCCATTGTATGGAACCATATGAGTTAAAAATAGCAAATAACCTTTCATTAGATGATCCAGTCTGTCCGCCTGCCAATGCTGTTTGTTCCAACCAGCGTATGTTGTAGTGTGTTTTCTCCTTCCTTTTAATTACATCAAATGTCAAGGCTTCCTTTGCTTCTCCTGAGAACTATTTTCTAATATGGGAGATTTTTCTGCCAAGAAGGTTGTTGGATATCCAACCTTAATCCACTATTTTGTAATTTCCTACTTTGGCACCTGGTTATTCTCCCATGTACTGAGCTAAATACGAGTCAGATTCAGCTCTTTGGGGTGAGTCCACAAAACGTGCCAACCTTATTCCTGCTTGTGGTCTTAGCGCTAGGTGGTTTCAGGGCTAGATTTTGTAAGAGCATTCGTTAGCGCGCTCCCAATTTAGCTGACTGTGTGTTGTCTTAGCTTTTTATTCTTAGGATAGTGCTTGAGCACATAGTTCAACCCCTTTGAACTACGTGCTGTATTTTCTTGACCCTAAAGAGCTACAGTCCCTGTAGATCAAACAGACCAAAAAGAGGAGAAAAATATCTAAGTTACAGGTAGAGAAGTGTCTTTATATCCTTACAGCTTCCCACTGTCGCAGTGATGGATTGCAATCCCACGTGGTTTTGTGTGTTCAGAATCCTCTTAGCCAAGAAGCAAAGGGAGAGCAAAACTCCCCTGTTCTTTTGTCAGGAGTAACCCAATTGCTCTTCTTTTCATCCTCCATAAATGAAGGGGAACCCCCATCATTACAAGTTCTTGTTCCTCTAGTGATTTTTTTTTTTTATTATTTTTTTTTTATATTTTCCTTATATCTAACCCTTCCAGACTTAGTGCTGTCTGTCCTTGCTAAGTTCTCTCTCTGGTTTGTCCATTTTTGGGGGTGTTGCAGCACTCGCAGTTGTTTGCCTTTGTGCATTCCCAGCAGTGAAGCCATAGCCAGCCCTGCTGCTTTCCTGCCCTGCACAAACATGTGCATGCAGCCAACATTTATACTACTACTACTACTACTACTACTGCTGCTGCTACTACTACTACTACTGCCTTTCTTCCCCCTCCTTTCTCCCTACCCGCCCCCTTCACCGGTGACAAAGTCTCATCTAGGGTCATATAACCCAGCAGAGGAACTGGCTTCTAGTTCTGCATGTATATATAATGGAAACATATATATGTATGTATTTTTCTAGCTGATTACAGGTTTTACAATCAAGTCCAACAGAATTTCACACGATTGAATAATGTTGCTGTTTTTAAGAATGTTTTGATTTTATATGAGTCATGGTCCCTTGCAACTGTCAAAAATTGGTTTCTTTTTCTAGCAATAAAAGCAACAGAAATCTCAAATGACAGAAAGGTGTTTGTAACCTGATTTATTTTAACTGAAGGACAATAATAAATATTTACAATTTTCTGCTTTTGTCTCATTTCCCCATATGTTACTCTAAAGTTGACTAACTAACTTGCCAGATAGACTCCAAATGTCAATTTTGTAAATTATTTGCAAACGAAGAGGCATCTTTAGATACAGGATTGCTTTGAACAGCAGTCAATGTGTTTCTTATCCATATGATTAATCACCAGAGACTATAGAGATGCCAAATATTAAGTGCTGCTTCCAAGCAAAATTTCATTTTGTCTGACCGAGTGCCAGAACAGAATTTGTCCTGTGACACAGCAAATTTTGAAGTAATTACCTTGTCGGGCTGTTTGATGCCTAAGTAATAGCCTGATTTGGCAGCTGGAAGGAGCTGAGCTCCACCTCAGTACACCTATTTGCCAAGCCATGCCTTGGCACATTATTTCATGATTGAACGCTTTTCATCTATTGAATTTTAAATCCGATTGAATTGCATAAACTTTCTTAATCCATTGAGTTCCTGGTTAAATTAAATAAAATGTTACTAAGCAGTTCTAAGTGAGTTAAGTTATGGTCTACAAAGCAACTGGAATATTTGCATTATTTTATTCTGTTGTTCTCTTCATGTGCACCAAGAAAGAAAATGTATTCAAGAACGGTCTTAACAGAAGGAAATTCAGTTTCCAACTAAAAAGTAGCAGCTGGTTTCTTGGTGGTGGTGGTAGGTTTTGTGTTGGTTTGGGTTTGTTTTTTTTAAATCTAACCATGTTTTGTGGCTGGCTTGACCAAAGCGTTAGGTGACTGTGCTCTCCGATGTATGTGTTGTGTGCTTATGCCATACCTGCCTCTGCTCTGTGCATTAAAATGAGAGGACTCTTCACCACTACAACCTGCTGTGCTATAGAAGTAAAGATGGAGAAAGAAAATGGTGATCAGTGGAGTCAGGCTATTTAATTGTATCGCCTTGTTCTGTAGTCAAACACTTGTACTGGTCTTGTTTGTGCAGTACTTTTTATTAAACATCCTATCTTCAGACACCACTTAAAAGCATTCCTGAGTAGATAAAAATACTGTTGTGGTTCATCTTATTTTTTTAATTTGACCTTGAGTACTCCTTGCAATGAGCTTTCTCTGCAGTTCTGTGTGTTTGATCGCCAGAGTTAACATCCCTACTGATGCCAACCATAGCCTGACCCAACCATATGAACTCCAGTAGACGTGCTATTTTAGGGCACAGTATATTTGTGCATGTGAGGTCCATAATAAATATTTGTTTTAAACTTGGCTAAAAACAGTAGACAAAACATAAAATGTTAACTGCAGTGTAGGAGTCACCATTTGAGTAATATTTGTCTCTCTCTTTATAAGCTTTTTAACATTCCTGTGTACTCTTAATGCAAATTAAATTATTCTGAATATGAGTTACATTTGCTACTGGGACCATATAAGATAGCCTGATCACACAGAAATCACCATCTCCTTCCGACTGGCAAGTAAACATCAGCTCTGTAAGGAAAGCAGGGAGAGTATTCTGCCAGACCATTCATTTATCAGCAGAGAAAAGTACGATTACTACAAGACTTTTTAGGAAATAAAAAAATTGAGCCATCCTCTTTATAAATTCTCCAACTATGCTTACCATTTCTAGAATTGTTTTATTAAGTTTTCCACAATTTTTCGCCAATGAAGTGCTATGAATGAGTTACCGTATAGCAGTGGGTAGGCATTGTCAGCCACCTTGATGAGATTTGTGATGGTTAACCTGTAAAGAAAAGGCTTGGAAGATGCTCACTGCGTCCTCCAAAAGCAGCTGTGGTGGGCAGTGCAATGGCAGCGTGTTTCTTTAAGATTAACAAAATGAGAAAGAGGATTTGGGGAGAAGCTCGTCATGTGTGTTCCTTAATGAAGTGACTTTTTGTGATTCTACCTATATGCAGAAATCTGCATTTAGTTTTCTTTTACCTGTACAGCTTGTGGTCAATGCAACTGAGGGTTTTTCATTCTTTTGTCTTGCAGGCCATTTCCCGCTTGTGTGAAGATAAATATAAGGACTTCAGGAAAGCCGCAAAGAAACGGTCAGTCAGTGCTGACAATCTGACTGTGGTTAGATGGTCCCCTGCTATTATCTCCTAACAGAGGAGACTGGAATATTCCTATGGACGTACTGTTTCATCCATCCATTTTTTTTCGGGGTGGGCTGGGGGTGGGGGGATAAAGAAAACAGACTTTTGATTTTTTTATTTTTAAATCTGTCAAGCTGCCTTTACAGTGCCTCCCCATTGTGTAGCACACGAGTAAAATACTTAGTGGAAGGAGAAATGGAGAAATCAGTGTTCGGGAGAGAAGATGGGGAACAACTTTTTTCTCACTTTCGCTAACAGCTTTAGCCTTTTTATGAGGAGACAGCAAATCAGGTGCTTGGAAGAAGAAACAAAAAAAATGAAGTAGAGGCAGAAAAAATATTTAAGAACTGTGCCATTTTCTAATATGCTGTACTCATGAAGAGAAATGGCAGCATGAAAACAAACCATGTAGTCAGATGACTGTGCACTAGAGGAATGAAGTTGGGAGAGTTCCATCCTAGAGGTTTCTCTTAATATCTTTTTTTATTTTCTGTTGGTTTTTGCGTTCCTCATTGCTGCTTCCCAGGATAAATTCTTCCCCTCGCACAGCAGCAAATACAAAGTCTGTATTTACAGTAGCACAAGCCCCTGAATAAATAGCGTTGGGTTTTTTCACTGCACTTTTCTCTGTAAGCTGTCTTATTAGCATTATTCTTCATAATTATTATGCATATGTTATATTTCTTGTATGCCTTTTATTGTATTTCAAAAGAGAGAATTTGTCCATAGTGCTGAACCAAAAGTGTGTACAGGGATCAGAAGATCTTCCTAATTTCATGATGTGTTTTATTTATGGTATACTTGGGTGCGTGTGCCTTCCTGAGTTCTTGGAATCATTTATTTTTCCTTAATATAAAAATACAGTTACTAAAGTATTCAGATGATGATGATAAGACTTGGGCCAAATCTCTGAAATTTGCAACAGATCTTGTGATCCTTTTTGCAGATTTTCATAGCACTAGAAGTTTAGCAGAATTCATTTTGAGGGAGATTTTTTTTTTTTTGTATGGCCTGACTAGTTCGTTCCTTCACCTCCAGGTCCATTGTTGCAAGCAATATTCTCAATTTTTATATGTTTACTTTAAATCAAAGTGAGTCTGTTTGTATAAAATAAAAAATAATAAAAAAAATTATTCCAGTGAGAAGGCCTGTAGAAGAGCAGAATGGAAATCTTAACAAGGTATTTGTCACAAGTAGATTTGATTTTGAAGCTAAAATACAAACCCTCATGTTTTTCAGCGTAGGTGCTTATAGAAATTGAAAGTAACCGAACTGTGAACATAATTTTCAGCTCTGATTATTAAGCTCTTTTGTCGTTACTAGTTCCCTCTTACTGTAGCTGTTGCCCCCTTGGAATTTGTAAGAACCTTTTATAGAAAATAACTTGCCAGTGTAAGCATATTTGCTTTATAATGCCCCAGGGTGATTTCCCCCCGCCCCCCCCCTTTTTTTTTTTTGCACAGTTTAGAAAGATATAGCCGAAAATTCTCAGTTCCCTGAAATCCTTTCTTTGCGACTATCACTGAAATGAGTGGCAACAGACGTCCCTGATTTATGCACTACTGTGGTAAACCATAAAGATTCCGTATTTGTTTTATTAAGCCCTATGGGCTTGTAGCAAACCTAGGGGCCCAGAGATGCACACTTGACTTCCAGTGCAATGCTAATCGGATGCCTCCGGGCAGAGAGGCACTGACAGGATTGAAGTTGTAATACCAAACCGCTTTCTGTTAACTTTCCAATGTGATTTGTGTAGTTGGAGACATGAAGGTTTTGTCCATAAATTCTCCTGATGTCCTTTGGGCCTTTAAAATAATCTAATTCTCATCACTTCTTGTTGTGCCAATGCATCAGAACTGTGAGTATCCAAGTCCATTTTTCCCTTCAGCATGGAATGTAAGGAAAGAGTTTATAACAATACGAATGCAAATTACAGCATTTGAAACCTCTTTACAGATAGTTATCAAAAGGAACATTTTCAGAGCATTTGAAATTAATCCTTTATAAACATAAATTTAGGCTTTAAAATATGTAAAATATTTTGATTTATCAACACTTTGCTAAACTATTTTCCATTTAACTCAATATCAGGAATATTGGTTTTATCCATTTCTGGGTGATAGAGATATGAACTTTGGATTATGTAAAGATCTCAATGCATCTACTATAATTTTTGTGAAGTTTATTAAACTACTTTAAAGATTGTATAGTCTATTTATTGTATGTATGTACATACAGTCTGATACTTTAAAAAGTGGATTCCGTAAAACCTGGCTCAGTCTTGTTTAGACTATTGAATATCGTTTTAGCCTTGTGCACTGGACTCTACCTCTGTATAGGAGAATTTTCCATATTCTTAATTAGTACTGATTCTGTGATTAACTTGGTTATGTTTCTTGCACTAAGAATTAAAAAAAAATCTGCTGTAAGTGTGGATTTTTTTATTTAGTTTAAGTTTTGCCGTATGAATCCTCTACGTTTAGATGGACATCTCTCTCCCTTAAGATTATAGAATAATTCTTTGCTTTTTCTTCTGGTTTGTTCCAAGATTGCCAAAAAATACAGTACCTGTCAGTAAATCTTAATGAGTGTCTTCTGTTTGCAAGGTATTCTATACCATGTAATTAAAAATGAATTATTATTTAGGATTATGTTGTGTTTAGTGTAGTTTTTTAAGCATTACTGTATGGAAAATGCCATTGCAAGGTTAGAGAATCACCTGGGGTGTGAGAAGGGAGGAGAACCAAATAGTGTTTTAATTAACAGCACAAATACATTGTGGTTTTCATTTCAGAATCTGAAACTAAATTTGCTGTAAATGTTTTCCAGATGAAGGTTTTCATTATTGCTATGGTCACCGGCTCAGAAATGAAAAGGTGTAGGAGATGTAATAAACCTGTCCCTTCATGCATCATTGTCTTAATGAATTATTTTACATGTTGAGCCAGTGGGCCAGTCCTGTGGCCATTTATGCATTGGTAATTGGATAAATATTTGAAAAAGGTGTTTTGGATGGGTTTTTATTCATGCATCCCTCTGCAGCCCAGAGATGTTTTCCTAATTCCTCTTTCCATCTGCAGACTTGTTTACATTTCAACTTTTGTTTATATTTAGTTTTTTGTCAGTGATACATATCATGCTGACAGACACTGTTCTTTGGGACTGAGAACACTGGAGTCATGTGATAAAGTGCAAAAAGAAGGAAAAAGTGAAATCACCTCTTCCACCTTCCACAAACCCTGTCAGTCTTTCAAGTGATACGCGTTTTCTATTGCTAAAAACATGCAAAATCCAGTTCCATAGCAGGGTAACAGTGTCCTTTTCAAGAACTGTATTTTTTATTTCTCTTTCTTTATCCTTTTTTTGAGAGATCAGCATAGATGGCTTAGTTTCCCTTAGCTTATCACGTAAACTAAAAACATGATGAAAGAACTGTTCACATTTATGGAGTCTTAGTTCAGACTTTGGTTTTTAACACCTCTTTCTCTACTTCCTAGCTTTCCTAATGCAGAAACCTTAGATGTAACCTAAAGATGAGAAGTAGCAAAATCCTCATCAGAAAAGGGTGATGGTGTATTGGTGGCAGATGACAAAGTGACATCTGGTAGTGTTGGCTATATATAAAAATAGCAGTATGTGGGAGGGGATAGAGGAATTGAAAGGGCAGAACCAGAAAAAAACCAAAGCCTTAACAGCTGAAGCAACAAATTATTTACAGTTGCCCTTTGCTGGTAATGAACGTTGCATTTTCCAATGCCATGTTTAAACTACTGCCTGAAGTGCACATTGCTTTCTGCTTCAATGTGGCCTTCATAAGGAATTCACTCCAGTGAGCTTTCATTCACATTTCTGTAATCAGAATTTTTTTTTTTTTTTTTTTTTTTTTAGCACTTTCCTCACTTCTGTTTCAAACACATTTCTGTAATCAGAATTTTTATTTTTTTTTTTTTTTTACTTGAATGGACAGATTTTGAAAGACTCAGCCTACCTCTGCAGTAGAGTGCCCCCTTAGTGTCTCTGACAGGCTCTGAGAAAAGAACTCGCATGTAAACACGAACATACCCATCTGAATGTGACCTAGATGTACACGGAAACGGTGGCATCTACGCCCAAAGAGCACTAAGTGTCTTTCTGCTGTTTCTGGTTTTTCTCTTCAACTGAACTATATCTTGAGGAAACCACAGAGCTGATGAGAGTTTGAGTTGCGTAGACGAAGGGTAATGACAGAAGATATGTAGTGACCACTGTTAGGAGAAAATTATTTAAAAAGGGAAACAAGATTTAGAAGAAAAGCTACTGATCATAAGGAGACAAAAAGTGATAGCAGACATCGATGATGATGCTGAAAATGGTTGTTTTGTAGTGTGTATGAACCTGCTTTTCTGGGTCCTCTTCTGAGAATCCGCAAAAAGTGCCTGGTGAATCCCAGAACCACAGCTTGAAAATTAACACATTAGCCAAGAAAGCCGTGCTCGTTTGCCTCTGTCATCTGGGCTTGATCATCAGGCTCTTCCCATGAAAGAAAGAAGCAACAGGACAGCAGATTAAAAAAAGGCAGGTGGCAGAGCAGTGCAAACAGACTGTATTTCTTGTGTTCCTTCTAGAATGGTTGATCTGATGCAATTTGATGTGAAAGAGAGAGTTGTTTCATGCCCTTTACACCATGTGTAATGTGTTTCAGCATTATCGGTGGAGGCTTTCGACTGTTACTGGCTGGAGACGCTCTTTGGTGATGATACGCTAAGCAAGTGGCTTGGTGTGGCGATAGGTGACAGCAGTATTCCTGCGTTTCCATATGAGTTGCCCAGAATCTCTGCCAGTTTGTAAAGCTCGCTCAAGGCACTGGACAGCATCTCCTGTGAAGATGTCAATGGTCTCTACAGATGGAGAGCAGCAAATAACAAAATGTAAAAAATCCTATTTGTGAATCTGTACAATTTCTGACTTACTGGATGTATTTACACAATTCAGTTTCATACTTGGTTTTGTTTTGTTTTTCCTTGCATCTCTGGCACTTAGACTGGGGTGCTGTGGTAACTGGTGCAG